GAGAGGAGAGAAAAACAGGAGCCAAAAACATACACACAAACAAAAAGGAGTGCTAAGGGAGCTTGCTATTGGAGTGGAGAAATGAGAGACTGAGAAATAAGGAAAAACAAAAATGGAAAAAAAAAAGAAAGGGTAAAGGAAAAAAAATGAATAAATCAAGAAACTGGAAATGAAGAAAGACAAAAAGGGAATAAGAGAGAGAAGAAAACAAAACAGAATTAAAAAAAAAACAAAAACAAACAAGAAAAAAGAAATGCCCCTAGGGATGTCCCTGTGTGTCTGGGCAGAGTAAGGGAGTAGCTTCCAAGCCGCATGGCACTGCCTGGCTAGAAGGGGTTCCCAAGGCGAGAAAAGAAAAAGAAAACAAACATATGAAAACAGAACAGATCAGAGCAAACAAACAAACAAAAAAGTCCCGGGTGTCCTACAAGCATGGTGACACGGGCCGGGAAGCAGTTTCACAGTCAAGCAGTGTTTCGCAGCCTTTCAGGAAGAAGCAAAGATGGCGCATGGAGCCGGGTATTTGAGAGAAAGGAGGGGGAGGTGGTGAGAGGTAAGGAAGAAACCTAAAGAAGCCGAAAAAAGCAACACCAGCAGCCAACAAAAGGCGCTTGGAGCCAGCCAGTGCAGGCTGGTGGAATCCAAGCAACACTGGGGTGTTTCCTGGCCAAGAGAGTGTAGCTGCAGGAAGCAGAGGAGGCTAAGTGGGGGTGAAGAAGGGTGGGAGGTGGGAAAGCCTATATCGCTGGTTACCAGTTGTTCTGTCTCCTGCTGGAAGCTCCATGAAGCTGCTTTCTCGTACCCCCTGTTTGCTGATCTCCCTCCGATAGGAGTCCAAGATGGCGGATCCATGCTGCGGTAGCTGATAAGGGGACCTCTGCATGCATTTCTCCTCGCTGTCTGTTCTTGGTCAGTTTCTTATTCCATTTGGTGCTTGGCTGAGTTCTTTATCTTTTCATTTGATGCGTAGGGTTTCAGGATTGACTTGTGACTCAGTTTGACTTAGTTTTTCTGATCTTTGCTGCAGAGGGACAGCGTGGTGCTTCTGATTATAGCGCCGTGTTGCCCAGAAGTCTCTGAGTTATGTTTTAAAACATACCCTTCTTGACTGCTCTTTGGAGAAAAAATAGCTCTTTACTATCATTATTTTTTATTGTAGCCTGAATTAGGTGACTTAGATACCTGGCAAGAAAATACCAATGCATGGGAAGAAGAAGAAGATGCGGCCTGGCAAGCAGAAGAAGTTTTGAGGTATGTGAGTAATACTTACATTGCAAACTGAGTAGAAGAGCTAGATTTATCCCCTGTTGTGTTTGTCAAGAAAGCCTCTCCACCAAATGTTATATTTTTCTTCATTCCTCCTCATATGAACCTTAGATAATATGGGACAGTTTTTTGTATTCCAGACTACATACACTTTTTTATATGATTAAAACCTCATCCCCAGAAACCAAGAATTTAAGAATAATTATTTTGTTTTATTTATTTTTTAATTGTTTTTTTATTGTACTTTAAGTGAAAGTTTACAGTTCAAGTTAGTCTCTCATACAAAAATTTATACATACATTGTTATGTGACCCTAATTTCTCTTCCTATACTGTGATAGCACACACCTCCTTTCCACCCCTGATTTTCTGGGTCCGTTCAACCAGCTCCTGAGTCTCTCTGCCTTCTCTTCTCACCTCTGGACAGAAGCTGCCCATTTAGTCTCATGTATCTACTTGAGCTAAGAAGCACACTCTTCATGAGTATCATTTTATGTCCCATAGTCCACTCTAATCTTTGTCTGAAGAGTTGACCTCGGGAATTGTTTTAGTTCTGGGGTGACAGAGAGTCTAGGGGCAATAATAATAATTTTAAATGGCAAATGAGAACCTTTTGCAGTATATGCTTTATATTTCATTCCTTGTAAAACCCACTTAGTTCTTACATGTCCTACTATAAAATGTGATCCACCCCTGTATATACCTATAGGTCAGAAATTATAACTTTATTTTTATTTCCTATGGTCTAGCACACATTTGAATGAAGTAATTTCCACACACACATACTTACACCTATATATTTTCACTCTATAGTTGTCCATACAGTGTACACGAAAACTCTGTAGATAGATAATATAAGTCAGGAACTGCCCATTCTACAGAAAATACTTTGCAGGTTTTAAAGCTTTTTTCCATTGGTTGTTAGGTTCTTTCTTTGTTTTTGTGATCAGTAAACATTTCTTGCTATTGCTACATTAAAGAGAAACAGAAAATTTATCTTAGGAGACCTGTCATCACTGATCATTTAAATGTTTCTCAGTTACACATTTTTAAAGATGATATAGTAAGATACAGTGATATGATTTTTTAAAAATTTTTTTATTGTACTTCTGATGAAGGTTTACAGAACAAATAGTTTCTCATTAAACAGTTACTACACACATATTGTTTTATGACGTTGGTTAACAACCCCACAACATCTCATCGCTCTCCCTTCTCGACCTTGGGTTCCCTATTACTAGCTTTCCTGTCACCTCTTGCCTTCTAGTCCTTATCCCTGGGCTTTTGTGCCCCATTAGTCTCGTTTTGTTTTATGGGGCGGTCTAATCTTTGGCTGAAGGGTGAACCTCGGGAGTGACTTCATTACTGAGCTAAAAGGGTGTCCTGGGGCCATACTCTTGGGGTTTCTCCAGACTCTGTCAGGACAGTAGGTCTGGTCTTTTTTTGTGGGTTAGAATTTTGTTCTATATTTTTCTCCAGCTCTGTCCGGGACCGTCTGTTGTGATCCCTGTCAGAGGGGTCAGTGGTGATAGCCAGGCACCATCTAGTTGTACTGGACTCAGTCTGGTGGAGGCCGTGGTAGTTGTGGTCCATTAGTCTTTTGGACTAATCTAGTATCTTGTTTTCTTCATTCTTACTTGCTCCCAGAAGGGGTGAGACCCGTGGAGTATCTTAGAAGGCTGCTCACAGGCTTTTAAGACTCCAGATGCTACTCACCAAGGTAGAATGTAGAACATTTTCTTTATAAACTATGCTACACCAATTGAGCTAGATGTTCCCCAAGACCACGCTCCCCACAGTCCTCCACTCAGCAGTTCTGTCCCTCAGGGAGTTTGGATGTGTCTGTGGAACTTCCATGACCTTTCCTTGTCCAAGTTGTGCTGGCTCTCCCAGTATTGTGTACTGTCTTACCCTTCACCAAAGTTACCACTTATCTATTGTCTATTTAGTATTCCCTCCCCACCCTCCCATCAAAAATTACTTATGCATTTTTAAAGATGATATAATAAGATACAGTGATAACGATTTTATTTTAAAAGATTGTTTTCACAATAGGGATACGCCCTGATGGCAGAGTGTTTAAAGTTCTCGACTGCTAACCAGAAGGTCAGCGGTTCGAACACACCAGCTGCTCTGTGGGAGAAAGATGTGGCAATCTGCTTCTGTAAAGATTACAGCCTTGGAAACCCCATAATGTAGTTCTACTCTGTCTTATAGGGTTGCTATGAGTCGGGATCAAGTTGATGGCAGTGGGCTTGGTTTTGGGGCTTATCTGACTATCTTAACAAAACTGATTTCATTTTCATATTTTCCTTTCCAGTTTGTCAGTGAATTCCAGTTACCTTGAATAGTCAGTAGAGGGTGCAGTTAAATAACTGGGAATTGTTTCTTCTTAGTTTGGCACTTTTTTTGTTTGTTTTTGTTGCTAGACTCTGCCTTCCTGTTTTCAGCTTGCTTTTCTTTTTTAAGAGGAGGGGGACACATTATAAATAAACATTTTAAGCTGCAACATTTATGTTGCATGGATCATCAAAACAGATAAATCATCTAGTTTCTTTTTTCTTTATAAAGCATAGTTTTATAAAATATTTATAAAATATTTTAGAACATTTTGGGAATTCTAGTGATTACTAGTGTCATTAACCACAAGGATAAAGGAAGGAGCTGTTCATTTTGAATCTTGTAATCTCAGTGAAAGCACTGTAGAGTTTAGGCCATGACTTCACAAGTATCTTAATATTTACTGTACAAAAATCCCATCCTTTTTCTCCCTAAACAAAATAAGTACAAGTTTTTGTTTTTTTTTTTTAATTTAGTGTTTTACATTATAATGACAGATTGGGAAAGGGAGCCTATTAGTCAGTAGTAGACATGCTTCATACTACTAGTTGCATAAGTAGAGCCAAAGGGCAGTGGAGGCTGCCATGTGTTACTGCTGCCCCAGAAGAACACAGAGAATTTAAAAAGTTTGTCCATACTCCATACCCTCTAACTCTTAGCCTGTTTCTCACTGCCACTGTAAAACGCTGTTGTTGTTGTTGTTAGGTGTCATCGAGTTGATTCTGATTCATAGTGACTCTATGTACTACAGAACGAAACACTGCCCAGTGCAGCGCCATGCTCGCAGTCCTTGTTATGCTTGAGCCCACTGTTGAAGCCACTGTGTCAGTCCATCTAGTTGAGGGCTTTCCTCTTTTTCACTGACCCTCTACTTTACCAGGCATGATGCCTTCTCCAGGGACTGGTCCTTCCTGATAACATGTCCAAAGTACCTGAGACGAAGTCTTGCCATCCTTACTTCTAAGGAGCATTCTGGCTGTAGTTCTTCCAAGATAGATTTGTTTGTTCTTCTGGCCGTCCATGGAATATTCAGTATTTTTCATCAGCACCATAATTCAAAGGCATCAGTTCTTCTTTAGTCTTCCTTATTCATTGTCCAGCTTTCGCATACATATGAGGCGATTGAAAATACCATGCCTTGAGTCAAGTGCACCTTAGTCCTCAAAGTGGCATCTTTGCTTTTTAACTCTTTAAAGAGATCTTTTGCAGCAGATTTGCCCAGTGTAATACATTGTTTGATTTCTTGACCGCTGCTTCCATGAGTGTTGATTGTGGATCCACCCAAGTAAAATGAAATCCTTGACAACTTCAATATTTTCTCAGTTTATCATGATGTTGCTTATTGGTGCAGTTATGCGGATTTTTGTTTCTTTATGTTGAAGTGTAATCAATTGTTAGTGAAGATCAAAGTGTTGCCTAAAATAAGTCTGTATTTTCTTGAATTTTGGTCATCCATACTCTGCCTGTTGCCGTTTGTAAGTGTGATTGAGAATGGTATATACATTTTACTCTGTACAGTCAGCTTTGAGCTGTCCCATATACAGGTAATCCATACTGAATTTTTCTGCATATAACCTAATGTTGCCTATCTAGTACCTAGCTGCGACCAGCTCCTTCCTCAGCCTAGCATACTTATTTTCTCTACCCCAACCCTTCAGATCCAGTACCAAATTCTGTTCCCATACCCTTCTTCTGTTTCATCACCACCTTCTACCCTGACTCCTGACAAAGTAATCAATAAAGATAGTATAAAAATGGTATGGGGGGTGGTGTCTGACCTCCTCTAACTACACAAGGGAAAAGGAGAATCAAGATCAGTAGCCCAAGGCTGGTTCCTGTGAGGCGGAGGTCAGACATGCCTCCTCACTCCGCCATCTTTACTAATTTTGACACCAATGGTCCCTCCCACAGCACTCTCTCCTTCTCTGCTAGGTTCAATAATTCATTCCAGTGGCCACAGAGAACTCACAGACCATACTCACGATTATGGGGTTAATTAGGGAAATAATAGGTTACAGTTCAGGCTCAGGGAGACTCAAGGATACAGTTCTTTCATCAGGACAGCCTCCTCACAGCCATGCTTGGAGGCACGCCTCTCACTGGTCCTCAGTCTCTGCCCAAAGGCACTCAGTTTTCTTGCTGCATGGGCCAGGGAGCTCACTGCACCATCTCCTGCAGTTCTCTGCTGCTGGTCTCTCCTTCCTTGGTGGTGGTAGGCTCTTCTATTTCTCACCTCTGGGGTGGCTCATTTCAAACCTAGCGGGATGGCAAAACTGACCAGTCCTCTTTGGTGGGGCACAATTACCCTATCACGCAGTCACACCCAGTCAGCTGGGTGGGAGTTACAAGACCATGGCTAGAAGGGCCGTATTAAGTAATTCATTACACCATAGATAGATAGATAGGCCTGGTGATTCTGGGCCAGTGGTGTTATGGTGGGGCTAAGGAAGAGGTATGTATTTTATAATGTGTAATTAGTAAGTACCTACCATTCTGCCCTTTCATTAGGGAGAGCTGGTTGAATGTTAATCCTTAAATAGATTTCTGGCTTCTAGCTGGCAGATGTATGTTTAGTGTTCATTTTCCTTTTGCAATGTGTTCTGCACAACTGTGTTCTTAACCCTTTAGCTGACTGTTTTTAACTATTATAATGACAGTAAATTTAATGTTCAATATCGAGCTGTATAAAAACAAAACATACGGTCCAATGGAAATTGTGTTTTAGTGGAAATGATCTAAAGAAGAGGGGTCAGGAGACTTGCATTCTTATCTTTATACTTAATCCTGTGACTTTGCAAGGTCACTTAGTCTTTGTCCCTCGTTTTACTTATTTGTAAAATAGAGATAATGTGTCTTCTATTTTGTAAGTCTTTTAAGGATTAAAAGAAATACTGTTTTTGAAAGTCTTTAAAATTTTGAAAGCAGTGAGACTAGTCAAGGCATTTTTTATTTGATGATAGTATTTGATCATAGTAAAAAAGCATTGTTGTTGCCTTCTGGAATTTGTTATTTCACTGGTGTGGTATTTTTACAAGTAAAAATATGAAGATGTTTCTTTTCAAATTTCAGACAGCAGAAAATAGCAGACAGAGAAAAGAGAGCAGCAGAACAACAGAGAAAGAAAATGGAAAAGGAAGCACAGCGGCTAATGAAGAAAGAACAAAACAAAATTGGTGTGAAACTTTCATAACAGATGTTATTTCTTCTTCACATGTCATAGTGCCAGTAGGAGAAACCTGAGCTCCACAACCCAAGCCACATTTGTATGGATTTAAGACTATTTTCAGTATACAAACACACTGCTTGATTTTAATGCATTCATCAGTCATCCAGGACACCAGGATTCTGCCAAAGTACCTTGAACTCTTAGTGGGTGAGACTTAAAAAGACACATGAGACAATATTTTCTTCAACATGCTCCAAATATCAGACAATTGATTGCTGTAGAGAAATTACTACAAATGGAACATACCTCTTTAAGCTAGTATTTCTAGCTAAATAAATGGGTGTAAATAATTTTAGTTAGAAAATATGGCCTTGGTGAATAATTTTATGGTGGAAAAGAACTTTGCTGTCTATTATGCTTTCCTTCAATGTGCATAATGATAAGTAATTTCAAATACTCTTTTATTTCCATGATTACCTGATCTAAATCAGACAAACTGTAGGGCTTTAACTTCCTTATTTTTGTTGTCAGAAGCTGGTGTCTGCATACATTTTTCTCTAATTTAAAATGGTATTATTTGTTTCATACAACATTAAGGAATTTGATGATTTTGGTTTTTGTTCAAGAAAATGACATTAAATGCAATAATTTTATTTATCATAAAGATTTTCTACATCTTTGTGTTCTTTTAGAGATGGTGTTACAATGTTATTACACATAAATTTGTAATTTATATTGCATGTATAAACATTCTGCAGATCAGTTAAAATAGTAGATTTGTGTTACATTATTATAACTTGTGAGTTTTTAAAACTGGTATCTAGTAGTTTTTACCTTTCATTGTAGGTTTTAGGATGTCATAATTTCTTTAAGTACCTTAGTTCCTCCTCTCCTTCAAAAGCCATTAATTTACAATTGGAGAAAGTCTTCACTTCTAATATTTCAAAGTTTTTAGATGGTTTCTGTATCAGTTGCATATATCTGACATTCTGCAGTTTATCTGTTTTGTGGGTTAAGATAATAATATTGATTCATTAAATTATAAATTGAGATAGGAATAATATTTTTATTTCTGAGTGTTGACTGCCTTCAGAATAGTCCCTTAAAGAAATAAATACATACTGTGTTCATGGGGAAGAATGTAGATTTGATAATACAGAATCTCACTGGCTTTTTTCCAGAATTAAAATGCATCCAGCTTAATTTTCTATGGCTTTAGAATTTTTAAAGATTTTTACTTTCTTAAAAGTTATTCCCACAAATTAACATTTTTGTGGGTTGTTAAAGTACTTCTACAGGTCAGACATTGCCAATATATTTGAATTAAAGTGATATTTCATAGTACTAGAGATTGTACAATGAGAGCTCCCCAAGTCCTTATCCTAAACTTACAGATTCTAAATGATTGTAGAATCAGTTAAAATTTACTTTGATAAACAGCTTTTTGTTATAGGTAAAAACCACATTTTCCATTTCCATATTTATTAGAGCGTTTCTGCCAATAAGCTTCCAATAAAATAGGATTCAAAGTTTTAAAAAATAATTTTATTCTCCTTCCTCATTTGTACTTATTTTTAGTTATTATGGGAATATTACATGTTTTCTCTAAATTTGGAGTTTGTAAAAGATAACCTACTTTAGTAAAATTAATTTTACTGCTTTTCCCCAATAGTTAAAAAATTATTGGTCTACTTTGTTCATGATTTTCATTTGTGTGAAGTTTTCTTTCTCGTTTTTTGTTTATTAAGAAATAAAGGCTCATGTAGAAGTTTGTATGATTAATTAGGAAGACATAGGTTTTTCTCACAGAAAGAGTAGACAGCAAGTTCCAGATTTTTTTGCCTCTGTTGGCATATAAAGTAACTTCCCACATTATGTTTGGGTATACTGTGGTCCAAAAAGAAGTCATTGAGTTAAATGCATTTCATAGAAGCAAACTGGTTCCTTTAGCTCCTAAATTTGTGGTTTCTGTTTCTGTGTTCTTAATTTTAAAGAATTTCTAGTTTTAGAAATTAGTAGAAATAAAGAAGAAATATGGGCTGGCATAGATAGAATTAGTAAAGTACTATCCATTTATTTGAATTGTACATTTCATGTACTAAGATAACAAGTAATCAAAGACATGTGTAACTTCTTTTGTATTTTTTATGTATAAATTTTGTGGTTTCCAGCCATTCCCTCTTTTATTAATCTTTAGCTAGGGATATCGTCTAGTTGACTCTTGGCTCTTCATTTGGTAGTATATTTAACTGAGTTGACATTTTAGAACTAACAATTTAAAATTCAACATCTGAATTCTTCAGTTTTGGTCAGGGCAGTGATTATTCCTGGGTGGGGAAGATTGATGGTTGGGGAGAAGGTGGTGGCTATAGAAACTGACATCTGGATCAGGCTTCTAACACCACTGTACAAACTACCACTAACCATGGTCAGTGTTGAAAAGCCTAAATTTTGTCACTAAAGGTCTGTTTACTAAAGGTGCAGTCTAGGCCAGGTATAGCTAAGATACACATGTTGTTTGATCCTATATAGTACAGCTTTTGAGATAATGTACTACGATGATTTTAATACTTTTTAGCCCCTTGTTCAAAGGAAACCTATCATAGATGTATAAACAAGTTACAGCAGTTATAAGCTGAGTGACTGTAGCCAAAGACAAGTTGGAGGGCCTGTTCCACGGCAGGGGCTTCTACCCTTCAGTGAATTGGAGGGCTAAAGAAGATCGTGGGTCCATGAAGAGCATATTTTCGTAGCTTACAACTTAGTAAACATGTTTTTACCATTTATATATATATTTTTTTAGTTGCCCTCTTGGAGTATCAAGGAGAGCTTTTTTTAAATTTTTATTATTATCGTACTTTAGATGAAGGTTTACAGAACAAACTAGTTTCTTTTTTTAGCAAAGTAAAAGCCATTATTATTATTTACGGAAAGCAAACAGTAAATAATAATAACAGATTCTCAAAGGAGAACCACTTAGCCCTACCCAGATTACCCATGTCCATTCTTTCTTTTTTTTACAAACTAGTTTCTCATTAAACAGTTAGTACACATATAATTTTGTGACATTGGTTGCCAACCCCATGACATGTCAACACTCTCCCCTTCTTGACTTTGGGTTCTCTATTACCAGCTTTCCTGTCCCTTCCTGTATTCTAGTCCTTGCCTCTGGACTGGTGTGCCCCTTTAGTCTTGTTTTATGGGCCTGTCTAATCTTTGGCTGAAGGTTGAATCTCAAGAGTGACTTCATTACTGAGCTAAAAGGGTGCCCGGGGACCATACTCTTGGGGTTTGTCCAGTCTCTGTTAGGCCACCAGTAAATGTAGTCTCTTTTTGTGAGTTAGAATTTTCTACATTTTTCTCCAGCTCTGTCCAGGATCCTCTATAGTGATCCCTGTCAGAGCAGTCAGTAGTGGTAGCCAGGCACCATCTAGTTGTGCTGGACTCAGTCTGGTGGAGGCTGTGGTACTTGTGGTCCATTAGTCCTTTGGACTAATTTTTGCCTTGTGTCTTTGGTTTTCTTCATTCTCCCTTAGCTGCATATGGGGTGGGACCAGTGGAGTATCTTAGATGGCCAGAGAGCTCTTTTTTTTTAATGTGTGTAATTTCCTTCACTTTTCTTTAATATAACCAAGGCTGTTCCAAGATTACAGCAACAGCCAGGGACTCCCTTTATACTCAGCTGTTTTGGGTTTTTTTTTTGTTTTTTTTTTCAACTTTGCTTCCTACCCGTTACCTTCAGTGCCCCTTAGTTGTGACCATTGGGCATGCTCAGTAACCAGAGTAAATTTTGAGAGCTAGTAAGTAAGATGCTTGTTCACTAGAAGCTCAAACTTTAAGGGTTGGAAAGAGACACTGTTCTAGAAATATATCCCCCAACCCCCACAACAGATTTCTTTGTTTCTAACTTGCATACCTGCTGCTGACAATAATCTGCAAGCAGGAGCTTTTGCAGAGAAACTTTTCACTGAAAGTCTGTCGCTGATCCAAGAAAATCTCAGCCTTCCCTTGCACAGCACTTCCATGTATTTCTGCAGGTGCTTTCCCTATACATTGATATGTAACCTTGAGAGCTTCTCAGGTGCTACAGAGATGGCACAGTGTTATTTAAACAAATAGCCTGGGTTTGCAGGTCTTTGAAATAGGGAGGGGGGTGGTTTTAATGATCAGTGGAGACTGTATGTAAGTGTTCTATAGTGCCTGGACATACATAAGCACTTGTATGTACTTCTCCCACATCTTGCTGTGCACTGGTGTTGGCAGCCCTTTCCTATGGAGAGTGGAAAAAGTTGACTTATCTTGAAATATTAGTTTTTCCACACTTCTAAGTTGAACTGCAAATTTAGTAAGGAAAAGGAACCAAACCAAAAAACCCATTGCTGTCAAGTTGATTTCAACTTACAGTGACCC